TCGTGTAGGCTGTATCACGCCATAGGCAATTCAGCCAGCCAACAATCCAACAGCCCTCAAGACCCAATTCACTTCCTTAACCAAGGGGCGTAGCAATAACTCGTTTGGCCAATTCAGTCAACGGTTCATGACGTGAGAGCTAAAAATGACAGAAAGAACAGAGAGCACAGGAAAGGACGTTTTAGTGAATCCCGCATATGAGAGTTAAGTGCAAAGAGGTGTGTGAATTTTCTGAGTCCTTTACGAGTTGTCGGGTGTGATTTGCGTGAGTCACATCGAAATTGGCGTCAACTTCTCGCCATCAGTTTCCCAACACTGGTAGCTTGTCTTCCAGAGGGAGGGAGCTAACCAAATAAGGGGAGTGGGAATGATAGTCATCTATCTGGAAGTTCTGGTTCCATGGGTTAGGAATTTCTGCACCTTGATGGAGTGTTGATGTGCCGATGCAAAGGTTACCACCTTGGTGATTAAGTGGTCAAATGGCCGTATCCTAATCACCGCACGTTGCCAGTACCACATGGAGGTGACACCTGCTCCTGTCACCTAAACCCGATTAGTTGTCATAGTAACGTATAGGATGTTCAGCTTCGGGGCCGCAAATCGTGCCATTGGCCAACAACCATTTAAGCTTTGTTACTAGGTTTCACATAAAACAAAAGAGTTCTGAAAAAATATCGTCCTTGATGCTGAAATTAGGGTAAGGTGGAGATTTAGGCCATGGCTAACCAAACTCACAAATAGGCTTGTCCGAAGGCTTAGAGACGGGCTGAAGTGGTAAAATTACGAGCATCATGTGAAGTTTCATGAGGGGACGAGTAAAATAAGGGAGGGTTGCGAAAAAGCGCCTCAAATGAAGGAAACGAATAACAGCCAGTGGGGAACAATACTTTAGAGTCTTTGCCCATTAGTTGGATGAATTTGTGCCAAAATTGCCTTTGAGTTAAAAGGAAAAAAGAGATTAAATGAATTCACAAGACTCACGGTGATACTGTTGACATTCTGGAACCTGACGTACTTCAGCTGGACGAGGGATGAGGCTTTGAGGTGACTCGGAGTAAGGCTGAAGGAAAAGGCGAAGATAGTTACAATGGTGGCCAAACTGTTTCGTGACTTTGCATTGCCTTGCCTCCACAACTGGAGGGCAATTCAAAGCGGGGAACACGCAAATGAACCAAACACACTGTAGATTCCCTGAGCAACTTGAAACCTCATTGATCTCTCATGCGTAGTCAAGTTTCATTGCAAGAATTCGGATGAAACGTAGGGAACACGAACACGTCAGATTTAACATGTGGCAGAAATCTTGTCACATCAACCCGGCCCCAGCCACTACCGCTTCTAGTGTACCTTAGCTTTCAAACCACCCAGGTTACTTCTCATGAGATCATATGATCAGCAAGTGGTAGTACCGAGAGAAGGTGGAAGGCACCACTTAGAACCTTGAAAGACTAACATCAACCGATATGTCCATTGTCGCGTAGCAAAGTCTCTCAAAGACTTCAAACGAGTTTTATGCAGTAGAAAAGCTTAACAAAACAATCGGTTTAGTTTGTACATCCATCAAGACATGCGTACACACAATTAACACGTTTCAGATCTGCGCAGTAAAAGATCGGAGGTGTCGCCAATGGATATATTGGAATGCAGCCATTCAACAGCTTGCCCTGAAACAGACCTGCCGACATGCCTCTACAGATTTACAAATGAGAGCAATCCACTCCACAAACCAGACAGGTCGCAACAAAGTGATCATCCGTCCGATTTACTTGGCACTTGATGGAACGAGGGTTTTGATGTCATAGAAATAGCAGGCAGCAAACCAAAAGCTACTACACTGATTCTATGCTGCATATCCGTTAATGAGACCATGTGTAAGTGGAACTTGTAGACATAAACTATGTATAAGTCTTACAAGTTTGAAAAAGTCGCAAAGCACAATTACCGTGAGTCACATGGAAAAGTGCATAAACTTTTGAGCGCCTTGTATTATCCATTGAGCTAAAAATTGTGCGCTTAGCAAGACTCGGTCCAGTGGTATGCGCTAAATGGGGAATTGAAATGACTTACGTAAATGCCTGAACCGGAGTTGCATCTTCACAGGCATCAAAGTCCGGTGTGGTCGTCTGATTGGTGAAGATCTTGATGTTCTTGGGCCCAGAATCTACACAGATTAGATCTTGAAGTGTGAGCCACGTGCTAGAACGTTAAAGTAACTTAACGACTAGCTTAACAATCAGCTCACAAATTAAAAAATAAGTTTAACCAGTTTTACGGTGTGATATAAAGCAAATTGGGTAATTCATCAACAAAGCCTTAAAAAAATGCCAGGATCTGAGAAAACTGACAAAAGTCGACACTGAGGAAAATCTTAAACCGAGTAAGATGTTGGTCCGCTTACTACCAACACCCCAGCATAAAATTAATTGTTAAAAGCCGCCAGCATGATAAAGACGGCAACATCATCAAATAGACTAAGCCAGCAAATACACACAAAGTAGAACCAGGTAACGGCCCTCATGCCACGAATAGCCTTACATCACCTCAACTGATTACAGAACAGGTTATCGCATATGGAAGAGGTCAATTTTTCATACTCGTATTGTGCTATGCCGAGCTTGCCATGATACCGCGTCAAAATCAAAAGGCATTTCAACCTATGGACCACAAAATCTGTAGAAACAACTACTTTGGCCATTGAGAGTTAAAAGTCAAAATCATCCAAAAAAACAGTGGACGAACCTTCAGGCCCAGTGATTCTAAGAGAATGCAGTTTCACAAGTTGATTAAATGTGAGAAAGATGATGAGCTGAAAACGAAGAAAAACGAATACACACTTCGTTTACTCAGTACATGAGGTCATAAAGACAAAACAATTGAGCATCTAGCCTCGGAATGTCTGTGATCAAGATAAACTTTTGAAATGCTGCATGATTCGAAACGAATATACCCAAATACTAAGGACCCACTAACTCTTCAAGGGTGTAAGCTTCTCAAGCTCGAAAAGCCAAATACGAGAATATATGCACCTGATTAGCCATTGGAACAAAACAAACAGGCCTTATTCATAAAGGTAGCAGCCACATCCACAAAAAGACTAGTCTCATAAATTCACCTGCTCATCGGCGTCTGACATGAGATAAGACATGTCCTTCGTCAAAGCACATTCAAGTCCGTGATCACTGTGACAATTAAGACACTCACAACGAGTCTTGTCGAGCATCGAAACAAGATCGATCTACAAAATATGCGTCCATTTGAAAAAGGAAAATGGTTTAATTACAAGACCAGGAACAGGAGCAATTGTGGGAACTGATGTGGTTGAGGTAGAAGAAGTTGCAGGTGGACCTGAAGATTTGGTTAATTCGTTGAGGCGGGCGCGTAGCAATTCCATGTCCGGTTTCCTAATTGTTTCAATAGTTTGCCCACCACGAAGAAAGACGAAAGTTGGAATTTGAACAACACCGAAATTGGCAACACATTCCTAGGGACAACGAGCATGTCAGTAACAAAAACCATTACCGAGCATGTATCAACGTCGACTTTGATGAAGCTAACAGAAGGAAAGCGTCTGCTCAACTCGGCAACTTCAGGTTCAATTGCAGTGCAAGGGTCACACCAGGTGGCGAAGAAATCCAGAACTACAAGGCGATTTTGGTCATTCGATACACATTTAAATGCTTCCTTGAAAGCCTCATCCGTGGCAACTAATTGAATACTCATTCCTGTGAATGAAGCACGTCTCAATGACAAGTTAGGCGATCAACCAACGCTGAAACGATCTCAAAAATACCATTGGTTAATTCAAAATCATAGGTAAATGCACTTCATAACAGTGAGCTAAGGCTAAGGCATAAAGCAGAAAAGCAATGTAATTTTTGGTCACCTAACAATTTAATAAATAAAATGCATATATTTTAAGTAAATGCAATTTAATGAATGGGATTTCACAAATAACTCATAGCGGTCCGAAGAAGATGATGGACTAAATCCCTTCATATGGGATGCTAAATGCAGTTGTTATTATTTGTTTTATGCAACATACAATAGTATGTTTACAGTTGTCTTCTTATAGGAGAGGCGGGAAGTTAATTGGAACACGAATCCGGTCCGTGAGGAGCGTGATGTTTGCCTTCCGACACACCCATACTCCCCGTTTCCTTCCTTTCTGCATACAATGCCAGATAAACCTTTCTAAACTTACCTTGTATAACCTTAAATGTTTAATCACTACATTGTGTTTTAAGCCTTCTTGTAGGGTGGAAGAATGCAGTAAGTTTAAGGCGAACGCATGCATGCAAATGAAATCTTGGCATGAAAGCCAGCCCACATATACAGGAGCCAGACGCATCTCAAAGTAGCTGCCACACTTCGGATGTTCAAATAAGCAAGAAGCCACACCAGCCATTACAACTTATTCGGTGCTGAAAGAACGCCTTCGCTAGACAGTCGCATCAGTCAGCTACTAGTATGAGGTACTCTCTGTTGGACAGGTCGCACATACCTGTTGACGATCAAAAGCTTCCGGGATTTGACGATATTGAATAAACGAAATAAAGCGGTCTCGTATGTATAGAGATCGACAACGAAACACGACAATTTCAACATAACATATAGCAATGTTACTTTATTATTAATAGATTGTCTGTATAACACGGAAATAAGATGAACCTAAGCAAAGATATCATTCTCAATCCTTTAGTTGTAAAGAGCCTTAAAGAACCTCCCGCTCCCGATGAATATGCGCCTCCTCCAAACCTTAGTAATATATGCCACAAACTGTGGATAATAGGATATAATTCGCAAAAATTCGGGGTTTGCTCTCCACTGCCACCAATGTAGCATACCTAGACTTTCCACTATGTAAAAGAAGGCATTAATTAGAGAAAGAGATTAGGTCTGAACTTGACTTATGCATTACAAGTGCAGAGGAATCCCAGAGTAACCGCCACGCATCAGTATCCACCGTTTGTGACACGGGTCTACTGCACGGATTAAGAGCATACACTTTGAGCTGGAAAATTCCTGAATTTTTTTTTAACAGAGGACTTTTAAACGATGTCAGTCTTTGGCCCTAATTTGCCCTCGTGTTCCACAGACAAGCTATAATCATCTGAATCTACACCGCTTTGACAATACGTAGGATCTTCTCACATACGGGACTGTGGTTGACCCCGTCTTTCCTGCTAAACATCTATTACAAAACTAGTATACCAATGTCTGGCCATGGTCCCGTTTGATGGTCACTAGATGTGAGTGGTCATGATTCCTGCTGCCAAACTAAACGCAATTTAAGATTCCCTTGAAGCTGCTAAAAGTCCAAGAACAATCTTTCAGTCTTATTGCAGCTGGTGAGTCACAAAGTTAGCTCGCGGATGCCTTCCCGCAGTGCCGAATATGTTATGATGTCTGGGAAGTGCCGTGAATGTTACTTAAGGCAAGAGCGGGGTAATGTAATACCAGGTCTGTGTGATTACCTGATGCCTAATGTTTACTTTGGTATTTGTATCACTCTCGTACTCATAGACTGGCCTTCGAGCTACGCCGACAACAAACCTTCTATGCAAAAAATTGCATGCATTCAGAACAGATTGATGCCTTCTTCAACTTAATGGGAAGTCTCAGAGACCTATAGGCAAAGTAACTACTAGACACACACGTGGTCAAGTTGTAGAAACTGCCAGCCTAGCCTCGTGCTCTTGAACAAAGAACTTTAAGGGAAGGTTAGTTACAGTAGATTTATTAGACATTGATTACAGGAAAAACGAGAATAGGAGTATAGACGAGCTGAATAGCAGATATCACCCGGAGAGGGATTTCTCACGGTCCTCACGCATGGGATTCGAGTCCCAAAATTGATTCTGGTCTCTCTCCTATCAAGGTCAAATTAAATACTCTGTAATATTTTGTTTATATGAATACATGACGTTTGGCGATCAATTTAGAGTCTGTCAGACCCTGTTCGCGTGGATTAATATTCGGACCATGCTCAAGTCTATTTGCTCTATCCTCTTCGGAATACATGAATTCAGCCACACTTACTACCCTCTTCCACTCTATGGGAAGTCGCAGGACGATATGCACTCCAGTATGCATTACAACTTAAACAAATAACTACACGAATAGGCACACCATACTATTATATCAAGCTACCTTAATAAATGGTTATAATAACAACCTGTATAACTGGAGGTCGCCTATGGAACTTGTCTTACTCTAGGCTTTGGGATCTAAGTTGTGAGTCAAGAGGAAACATAATGCATTCATCTTGCTCCGCATAAAAGCATTCAGACCCACGTAGCACCTTTTATTAGCCAAGTATTACTGTCACTGTAGTGTCCTAAGACTTCCCACATTGTTGAAGAAAGCAGTGAGTGAGACTAAACACAAGTATTTGAAATTGACGGAGGAAATGCACAAGAGCTAGACAAATCTTAAAGTGACCACCGAATGTCAGGTTGTCACATAAACAGCGCTACAGTCACATTGGTTATATTCATTACAAGGTCAAAATTTATATTAAGTGTTGAACAGGGCAAAATTGAAGCAAAAATATTTACTGTGGCTTGTAGCAAATGGCTCATCAAAAAGGCCCTTGCCATGCCCTAAACAAGGAATATTGTCTTTTAAAAATAAAACTAAGGCTTTGATATAATGGTCATTTTTCTTCTCTAAATTATGACTATTTTTGGTTATTTTTTTTCGCTTTGCAGTTCAAGGCACCAACTTCTAGTTATTTGACCCTCTACTTAACCACATGACTGAATAATGCGCTTTTGTTTATCGGTCCAAATAGTTGTGCTTTACAAGGTCGTGATCCCTTCGAAATCAACTTTGGCTCCGTAAACGATGTAGTGTTTTGGGGTGTCATTTCTTGGGCCACGTCAAATTGCATTTATATCAACTTTTAGCTCCTTGTACAATGGTCTTCTCGTAGTATGATTCGTCGTACTTGCGCCATCTCACGTCTCTTTAACTCCACCTTCGCCCCGCCTCTCTCTGTCTGGCATTTACGACTCTTTTTCGCAATTCTTCTCTGTATCTCTTTTATTGCCACCGCCCTCTCCACCGCTCGCTTACTTACTGCACGTATTCTTAGTCAACAGCCCTTCCTCCATCTTGGTGCTCTCATTTGCTGTGCGGTTGGGTTGATTCGGTGTCGTGGAAATCACCTTCGCAATGTTTTCTGTGCTTCACATACCTCCAATCGTCTTCGTCAGGCCACTCTTTGTGCTTCGGTCGCCATCACTCTCTCAACTCTTGCTTCTCTTCCTGCTCCAACTTCCGCCGCTGCTGCAATGTTGAACTCAGACATTGCGTATCTTGACGTGTGGCTTCTTCTGGCTCTCACACTCTGTGTCCAAGTCTTTCTTCCCGGTGGTCGAGCACGGCACCTCGTTTGTGCAGTTATTGCATTGGCTCATGCAGTTATAGTGATTGTCATGAGGTTCACTTCTAATAATGCTACAATTCCCAACGGTGGTGAATGCTTCTTGTGCTGGAATTCATATGACATTCGATTTTGGCGCAAGGCAGGTGAAACTTGTTATACGTGATTATTCCCTGGTGTCTAAATCACCACGTGTGTGCATTTTATTAAAGGCACCTCAGAGTCTAATTTAATAGCTACATAAGTGGATGTCTTTAAATTACAAGCTTTCCGGTTGTCAGCCGCTCTATGCATGTTTAGGTTGTCAAACTCGGATTTGTTTTCTTGTCCGGTGCTCTCATTAAGACAATTTTAATATTAGTAGTGCTCTTTCAATGGTGCTGATTCGATATAGCTGAGCTATGGCACGCATGTTCCTCAATGAGAATGCTAAAGTGCCCATCATTTCAACTGTTAACAGTCGTGGATGACAGCAAACTGTGCGTTTTATGTGAAACAACCTATGAATATTTTATCTTGCTACCATAGAGTTCTTCTCCTTTTACCATGCCCATGGTATTGAAAGCCTCTTTAGAAAATTTGCTAAATATTTGGTGTTTACTTGATGGCGTTAACCCCACTTTTGGGATTCTGAATAACCACGTGTGGCGAGAACATCTTGTATAGTATCGCTGCAAAATTGGTCTTACCCGCTCCGCCACCTGTACGCCGGAATATTGGGCGAGGCATTTGTCATAAGTAAATCGCAGAGCTGAATTTGATCCTTCAACTTGCGCATGCGTGTATATTTTGTCCTAATTTTTTATGCCTGAAGCATGTATTTGTGATTCCATCCTTTTTATCTGAGCTCTCTGCTTTCTAACATATGACAGTTTCCTTGTCGATGGTCGCAACTGATTTTGTTAGCTATATATTTCACTTTGTCTTATTGGGAGGACAAGAAACTAGCGTGTTTTGCGGTTACCAATTTTATTCGAGATCTCGATCTCTGGGGAAAATTTGATTCAAAGATGGAAGTCCCTTCCATAGAAAGCATAAGAATTGGCCTTCAATGAGCTGACTAGATGATACTTGCGAATTCCCTCCCCCGGCACTACACAAAAGGTGAAACATAATTACTTCTCAGACTGAGAGGCGTCCTTCGATGTGGCAAAATGTAACTCATTTTTGGCTCTCGCAAGTCAGTCTACAATATTTTGAGCGAAACCACAAATGCGAAGATCGCACCAGGTACTTTAGTGGGAATTAGTTGTGGACCTTGAACTTCTTTGGATTTTGTTTAGTTGTAAGCTCATTTTCCATTCCTCCTCCCTGGAGAATGGTATTTTCGAGCAATTTTTGAAAGCAGGAGTTATAATTGTTAAGAGACGCACCGGGTGCTTCGTAGAGAGTCCTACTCACATCACTTAAGTAGTATATTCCACGCACCTAAACTACTTTGTTGAATTTGCCTTCTCAGTGCAAAAAAGATGGTATTGTTACTTCATATCACATTATTAGTATTTCGGAAGTTGTACTTCATGAATGGTGGTGAAAACGGGCAGTTATTTTGGACTTTATTTTTGTAACAGCCTTAGTTTGGCGGAGCGATCTGTTTTGTAATTGGGGAGCATTGGCAAACCACTTAAGGAGGTCTGGGTTTTAACACTTCCATCCCTGGCCCAGTGAATGCGGAAAAGTTTGACTTTTTACTGCAAAAGGATGTCAAAACCGCATATACAAAGTGCACACCTGTCGTTTTATTGGAGGACCAACATCGCTTTCGTAATCCACTTCAGGATGGAGACCTTTTACCCACTCTCCCCCCTTTCCGTAGACTTCGTTCCACATTTTTTTTCCCGTCTTGAAACTCCTTTTTTTGACAAGTGGGTGTCACATTGACTTTGCCCTCTTTCTGGCCTCGTAAGCCACAATGCAATGCACTTCAGTCTACATTATCGCAATAATTTACTCCCATAGGCAAGGCAGTTATGAGCACTTTCATGACGGTACTGCGATCACTGCTGGAGGGGTGGTTGATGAGCAAGTGTTTGAGGGTTCGGAAGGAACTATCATTCTCCCCGCATTGGACTGATCACCACAGGTCAGTCACCCTGCGAACACTCAATTCTCTCTTTCATGCTTTAGAGTCACTAGACTTGAAGCAGATTCGGTGGATGTGCTTCACTCCTTCCATGCAAAGATGTCCATCTCGAACCAATATTGTATTCACTCCTCAAGTTTAAGTGCCCTAGTCAGTCTCATCCCATTCTCTCCCCCTCGCTCCCCTCTCCCAACTTTTTTTTCCCAAAGATAAGACGGAAGAGTAATAAAAGTGGAGTCATGTTTTGTTATTTTGAGGGCAGAATTATCATGCGTTCGCTACTGCCGCGGCACATCGACCGTCTTGGCTCAGGTGCTTTTACTGTGTCCATGCGAGACAAAAGCTGCTTAACAGTTAAATAAAAAATCCCTCAATTATCAGTCTTAAGAGCAAGACATTCCTCTCTCTTTTTTAACTCTTTTGGGCGCCAGTTGTGACACGAAATTCGTCAGAACTGATTGTAATGAGTGTATAGGAAGTATATTTCACATATTTGTGTTCACTCAGAAAAGCATTAGAACTTCTCAACCCATTCATCTCGATTTTCTTGTTCCTACTTCACTACTAAGTGAGATTTAAGGAGACAGTGAACCCTTACAAAGATCGAATGGACTAAATCTACTCCCTTTTTGTTCTCCTTCGTCTCCTCCCTTTGTCTTTGGGGATTACCTTTTGACTTTGTTTTCCTTCACATAGCCGGAAATGTGACTTCGAGAGCAGTGGGATTGTATTTCCCTTAAAACTGGTAGGTGTCACGTCTCATACCTCTTCTCTTCCTCCAACAGTTGGCGTCAGTAGCCTTGGTTAGCGTTTCACACAGCTAACCAGTCCTTTCAGCCGTAGGAGCATTGCTAATGGATAGGTGCGCGCAAACCGTAGGAATGAGGGGTCCTAGTCCTGTCTCGTACTTGAGTCCCTATAGTGTTGTCTCCCTCCAGACATTAACCCTTTTTCGATCTCTAAAATTCAATACACTACTGATTTGAAAAAAGATAATGGTAGGAGGGAGAGGGGGGGGAATATGGCCGATCCAAAGTGTCTACCTTCTTCTAACCCTACCGTCTCCGTCCTCCGTCTCTCTCCTCCCTTCCAGGTTGCCTCAAATCTGGTGGCCTTCACACTAACCAACTTGATTGGTTGGCATTTGTCCTGTCAAAATTACCTGGAGCGTTGGAGGTGCCTTTGTGTTGTACTGCATGCCGCCGCCAGACAGTCGACTTTGCGTTCCACTCAGAAGAAACTTGTGAGTACTCACTCTTGAATGCCTTTATCGGTGGAGGAGCATTTGAATCACCAAATTGTCTTTCATTTGTAGAACCGCATTTCACGAGCTATCGTGCCTCCGGCGTTGACAACGGATTTAGAGCACGATTTTTACTCCCCACCTTACATTTGGTCATCACCTCTGGTTATTTACCTTCGAAATGTCAGGTATTGTTCCCCCCATCCTCTTTTACTGCCTTCTCTTCGCTTTGGTTGGTTCAGTGTAGCGACTGCCTTAGTTTCCCTCTTTTTTTAGCTTCCTCAGTGCCGAATTGGTTGGTTTTTACACCTCAAATGGCACTGGTAGTGGTTGCATTGGATGTGGCTTGTCACCGGTACTTCCTAACACTGCTGTTCTCGAAGTTGAACGCTATCCACAGCCCTCATCTCAACACGTGGTCGCCTTCACAAATCACCTTATCGGTCAAATTAAGGCTTTGTGTGAGGTACACTTAGAATCCTCTCTTTTCATCATTTCCATATTCTGCCTTACTGGGGAGCATATCTGCGAAATGGTGTAACCTTTGTTAGGGTCATAAATCCGCCCCAGAATCGATGTCTGAGTGGTTTGAGAGGGACGGCTGCATCCGGTCCTTCCTCTTCCTTCGCCTCAACCTTTGCTTTAACCCGGCTGACTCGTTTGTGTCCATTTCTCCCTTCCACTACCAATCAGAGCTTATTTCACTGTGTTGGACCAGTGGAACGGCAACGAGGCAGTTGGTCAGGTTGAAATAGTAAAGGTCAAGTCCGCACTAGACTGTTGAATAAACTTATACTGAGGTAAAGATGATCACTGATGCAATGAAGGCAATTCCAGTGAAGAGGAATGACAAGTACATTCATCCATGCGTGCTGACTCATCTGTTTCATTCGCTTCCACCTTTGCTCCACCCATTTGGACCAGTCACTTCACTCATTCTCCGCTGAAATCACGCAAGTCGTGGGAATGGGTTCCATTTTTGTGAGGGTAACAAGACACATTAGCCGTACTTGTGCATGTGACAAATCTTTGTCTCCGGTGAGGCTTTATTCTTTGTAGAATCATGGCTGCTACGCTGTTCATGTGCGACCTGGTGAAGTTCTATGCATTGCGGGATACCCAGAGGTGCGTGTGGATCACGCCAACTCCTGTGTTCAGCTGGCACTCGCGATTAACCGACTATTGAGGTGAGATGACTTGCCTTTTGTGCTATTAGCTCACCCTCTTGGATTCTTGTAAAAGGAAATTAAATGAAAAACAATTTTTTAAGGCCATTTTGCGATGTGTTTGTAGATGTCAAGGCTCGTCATGAACTCAGAGTAGACATATTTCCCCTCACTCCCTTTTACTAGCTTGGAGGGGAGCGTTGCGCCATCTGTTGGCGTTGTTTTTCCTTCCGAAATAATTCCTACGTCTTGCACCCGTTTGTTGGTCTTTTCGACCCCTTCTAAACGAATTGGGGAGGAGGGAGAAGGAAAAAAGGTTCCGATGCGTCTCTCGGACACGGATAAACATGGGTATTTAATTCTCTTTATCTTTTTCCTGGGAGGTGAGTGAGGCTTCCTCCCACAAGGACAAGATTTGAATTCCAAGAAGTGTCTCTAATTAACTTTAAACGTCTCGATGAGAAGGGCCTCTACTCCTGGCCGTCTGGTGTTCAATCCGTCCTCGTTGCGAGCACACTTGTCATTTACTGACTGCTGACATGCTTCTGTGTCTTTTCGGTCGGTTTGCTAGCTATGGCATTTGTGAGCGTCTTATTTGCCACTCGATCCACGGAATTCCTGGAAGGTTCCATAAACTTACACCTTTTGCGTAGTAAAAACTCTATATGGTCTCT